TTCTGAATTACTGTTTATATTCCTTAAAAATAGACCAAATTACAATATTATAAAATATATGAACAAATACTTCTCTTATTAATAGCATATGGCCTACAATGATTAAAATCATCTATCTAATTCTATGCTTTTAGATATAACAACAGAAATAAATATTTTATCTGACAATGAAAAAAGTATCATAAATAAAAGTAATGCAGAAAATAAAATAATTCAAACAAACCTAAAAGTTGGTAATATAACAACAGAAATAAATATTTTATCTGACAATAAAGAAAGTATTACAAATGAAAGTGATGTAGAAAATGAAATAATTCAAACAAATCTAAAAGTTGGTAATGTCTTTAAAGATTGGGATAATGTTGATAATGCGGTTAAAATATATGCAAAATGAACCAGGTTTGTTGTTATTAAATCTCATAAAGACCTTGATTCTGTCGATAAAAATATTGTTCATCGTCATGTTTATAGTTATTAGAAAGCTAGAACTAATAATTCAAGAAAAGTAGAGGATATTAATTCATACTGTGATGCTGCTTCAACAAAAATAAATTGTGAATAGCAAGTTAGCTTTTATTTTAAAAAAAATGCTACTGTAATAGATCTTACAAAATTTAAAGATATTTATAACCATAATTGTGATTCAGTAACTATAGATCTAGCTTCTAAAAACTCATGTATTCCTTAAGAGATTTTGGATAAAATTGAACATTATACTATTAATGGTCATTTGGATACAGGACAACAATATAATCTTCTTGTTAAAGAGTTTTCTCAATACACTATTAAGAAGAAGGGTTTATATAATATAATTCAAAAATTTCAGAAAGTTCAAATTCATGATAAGTCAGATACTTCAACAATGTTTTTGTATCTTATAAAGCTATGTGATAATGATAATGATTATGTGGTTGTTCTATGTTTAGAAAGATTATCTAATAAACTTACTGGACTGTTTTAGATGACTAGTCAACAAAAAAATGAATTTTGGCTTAAATTTTATGATATAGTCATCCATGATAATACAGCAAAGACCAATCGATATGAAATATCTCTCAGTTTGTTTGTTGGTATCGATAAAAATTTTAAGACAAGAATCCTCGCTCAAGCTTTGACAAAGTATGAAATGCAGGCTGACTACTGTTGGGTACTAGATTGTTTAATAAAAGTGACTAATAATCTTTGTCCTCTTGTGTTGTTTACAGATAATGATCTAGCTATAACAACTGCTATTAAAATTATTTATCCAAAGACTCATCATTTGCTATGCATGTTCTATATAATAGAAAATATCAAAAAAAAAGATCAAAGTCAAGTTACATGATGAGATGATTAACAGGTTCATAAAGAATTTTTACTATATATGTAATAGTCATAGTTACTATCAGTTTGAAGTTAGATATAATAAAATGTTAAAAAAATATAAACTATGTCAGTCTTATCTTGAAAAAAACTCTATTCTAGTCATGAATCATAAGCAAAGTATTCTACTGCAAAGGTGTTTACAGCAGGAGTTGAGTCAACTCAATGTATTGAAGCTATAAACGGGATTCTTAAAAAACATCTAGATCAAGGAACTTTATTAAAGAAATTAGTAAAGGTAATCGAGAATGAACTTGAAAAAGAAGTACAATATAGTAGAATTAGAAATTATTATAGGTCAAATCTCTCAACTAGCCTTCTTTCAACTTATGATACTATTTTTAAATACTTTGATTCTGTTCTAAAAGATTATTTAGCTCCCACTCCATTGTTACTTCAGAGAGCCCAAATACAGCAATCATTATTGTATTAAGAAGCAACAACCACAATTGATCAGATCGAGGAATATGATGTTGAATTTACAAACATATATATGATGTACTACAAATTAGGCTATATAATCTTTTATCTGATATAAATAACGATGAAATTCAAGAAATTTGGGAGGTTTATTTTATTGCTACAATATCTTTAACATCAAAGCTACATTATGTAGTAATTTTTAGCAATTCAACATCACTTTGTATATGTATATGTTGTGGCTCAGATCGATGTTCGCATCAGGTGACAGCTAACGCACCTCAGATATCAATCACTAGATAAGGTGCCTTAGATGATTTGAGATGTGTTAGTCGTAACCTAACGCATTAAATTTTTTTTTAGTATTTTATTTATTTTATTTAAAACAAAATACGTATTTCATATTTTATATTTTTATATTGCAAATTACATAAGCTATTTATTTACTCCTTATTCTGACATGAACGTTCGCCATGATATCTACTGCCACATTTGCCACCACTTTTTTTACAATGACATCTATTACTATTACAATCACTTTTACAACTACAAATTGCACATGATGGGTCCATACTTTGAAGCCATGCAGCTTCCCTGATTGATATTTTATTAGGTGGTATAATATTAAGTTTGGGAAAATTAGTGGTGCCCAAAGGCTCAATCTCATTAGCAAAATAAAAAACCTCAATTATTTCAAATTTTGATCCTAATTGATACTTGTTATTTTTGGTTTTATCAAGTATTTTGCATGGTAGAGTTGGTCGATCAATACTAAATCTGTCAATCTTGGGAATGACCACTCTTACTAAATCATTGATTTCATATTCTTTTGGTCTTTTCTTGCCTTTAGACATTTGATAAACCATTTTTTCAGTATATGCTTCAAGGTTTTGATGAGCAGCTTGACGAAGAATTTCATGTTCACTAATATTATTAGTAATATCTGCAAGTTGTGTAGTAATATTTTTAGATGTATTTGAAGTATTATTGTCTTCAATATCATCAATATCCGTCACTAAATAATTAATATATTTATTATTAATATAATAAAACTAATAAATGCATATAATTATATTTGAAATCAAGAATATTTACTTTCAAGATCATTATCTAAACTTTCGATATGATCAGAATTTTTTATTTCAATCGTATCAGGTATGTCTTCTTCATCACGAATATTTTTTAAAAATAATTTATTAATTAGTGTACAGTTTTCACGAGACTTATTACTATACACCAATTCATATAGAGTCTTATTATGAGAATGACAATAACTATTATTCATTGATGATATAACAAATCGAAGTTCGAATGACCAATCACTTCGTCTTGTGTCTTCTTTCCATTTACCTAATTTTTGTTGAAGAATTCCATTGGTACATTCGACTAAACCTTGTGATTGTGGGTGACATGGTCTTCTATTAATTATTTTAATAGAAGGCCACATTTTTATAAGTTCTGTAATTACTGAAGCACAGAATTCTTTATCATTATCACTCTGTAATATAGATGGAGGTGATCCTAAAGAATGAAAAAGATCAAATAGATAAGCTGCAACTTTTACAGATCTTTTGGATATAAGTGGTTTAGCCCAAGAAAAGTGACTAAAATGGTCTCTGACATGACATACATATTTGTAATTACCATCAGCGTCAAATGATAAGTCAATTAAATCCATCTTATAATAATAAATAGTATTAAATTTTGTAGTATTTTAATATAAAAAAAAAAATTTATTAATCTACTTGCATTCGAGACAGAAAGTTTTTAGCAATAATAGGCTTCGCTGCTAATAGATGGAATGATGGCTTTCTTACGGCACATATAGTACAGTTGTTAACAAACTTTTCAACAATTTCTTGTTTTATCTATCCTCAATTTTCCTGGATTGATTTCTATAATTGCTTCTGGCCACTGTGTTGATCAACTTCAGAATAAGTCTTACAAAGTACTTCATACATGTTTTCAATAATTAAGACTAGAGTATTATTCTTCTTTATTATTACTCGAAAATCATCTGGAGTCACTTCTTCAAGACGAAATCTCTTCTTTGCCTAGTCACAGGTGTTTTTATCACCAATATTAGTATTAGAAGGATTTATGAGAATTAATTTGAATTGATTTAAAAGATCAAGATTTATTAATACTTTGGATTGTTTGCTTTTTGGAAGACCCATTACATATTGATCAATGATTTCATAAAAAGTACTTCGGTCAATAAATTTAAATTCCATGATGATAAAAGCTGTGAATTTAAGTTAAAGGTAAATGTAACGAAGTATTATTTGATATATTTGTTAAAAGATATAGGTAATTACTTTTGAATACAAGCAAGTTGTTGGATTCCAGAATTACAACAAAAAATATTAGTACTTTTATATGCTTCAAATAAACTTTATTAATTACTCAAAATGTTATCATATAGTTGGATTCCAGAATTACAACAAAAACTTTTATATGCTTCAAATAAACTTTATTAATTACTCAAAATGTCGTCATATAGTTGGATTCCAGAATTACAAGGAAAAATATTAGTACTTTAATATGCTTCAAATAAACTTTATTAATTACTCAAAATGTCGTCATATACATAGCGATAGTTAAGCATGACAAGACATCATATACATTGATATTTAAGCTTGGTCATATACAGCGATAATTAAACGTGACGACAATTGATAGTTAAATTCAAGTGCGTTAGGTTACGATTGACGCATCTCAGATCACCTGAGGCACCTCATCTAGTGATTGATATCTGAGGTGCGTCAGCTGTCACCTGACGCGAGCATCGATCTGAGGCACAACATATATAAGCGTGATATACAAGTGTATCGCATAGTGCAATGTATATATTTATCCTAAAAAATTAATTAGATTGAGATTAGAGTTAGAGTTAGAGTTAGGACTAAGGTTAGGATTAGGGTAGAGTTAGTATATACTAGAGTTGTTGGTGAAACTAATCTTCAATGGTGCACCGATGTCACCAAGTTGGTACACCGAAACTGGTGCACCGATAGTAAACTAGAGTTATAGATAAAACTAATCTTTAATGGTGCACCAGTTTGCTGGTGAAATTAATTAGTTTCACCAACAACTCTAGTATATACCAAAATTTTGCGAAGAATTTTTTTGTTAGAACATGAAAGGTGGTTTCTTACACGAAATTAATTTGCGCATCACACACGATCTTCAAATTTAATTGGTCAGGCGATGCATAACTATAATGCAGGGGTGCGAAACCTAGGAAATTCCTAATATGTATTTACGCATATATGTACAATAAAAATTTTGGACAGGCCGAAGTCCAATTAAGTTTTTGGACATGTCCAAAATCCATCACAGCTATAACCTATATCTTTGTCTATATTATTTATTGTATTTCTTGTTTTTTATATATCTTTCAGAAAATAAAAATGATAAAATATTATCACTCTTTTAATAAAGATTAGCCAAATTCTCCAACTTGAGTTTTTTTGTGGCATTGTGATTAGCCAATCAGATCGCGAAATCCAATGTAATATAAATAATTGAAAGAAATCAAAAAACTCCTTGCAAAGTTTTGTACGTACTTTAATCATGAAGCGTTATCGTTATCACACTTTCGTTTATTTATATTACACGATGATATTGGGCGGAGATGATTTTGCAGGCGATATGAAGTAATTTTGATTTAAAATTTTTTTTTTTTTTTTTAGTATCAAAATAGGATATTGCTAACTTGCCCCCCTGGTTAACATAACCATCCTATTATTATAATTTAAAAATGGCTTAAATCTAATCCTAAATTTTAACTTTTTTTAAAATATAAATTATAGGTGGTTAAAATTTATAATTTTAACCAGGGTTAAAGTTAGTTAAATTCTAAAAAGAAAAAAGGATTTTAATAAAATTTTATCAAGTTGCCCAGCAAAAAGTTCAAGATATTAATGATTATTGACTCAATGTGGATTGATGATTTTATATTCATTTCAAATTATTGATTTCTGATAATAACTATTAGATTTAGCATATATATTTATTTAATCCTGCTTATCGCTAAATCACATTTGGATCCTTGAACGAAATTTTAATAATTTATAGCATTGATTTAATAACTTTGACCGGTTTTTAAGTCTGATACTTTGAAAATGTGACATATATTGTAATTCTGTTATTCCAAATGAAGCAGAAATTTCAATTCCAACCAAAACTACGTAATAATGTCAGTTGCAACCTTAGAATCATTGAAACCAAACTCGAAACAATATATAAAACCCCTTGAACAGCCAGCTACAACTCTTTCATCATCGATTCCTAAAATGTTAAACACGGGACTGTCAGTATCAGGCGTAAAATCTAATGTACCATTCTCCGCGTTTAAAGAGTTTGGGCCGCATATTCCATCCTTGCTGCTCAATCCTTTAAGGGAATTGTAAACAAGAAGATGACTCCTAGGCGGATAAGAAACAAGTGAACCAATCACGCCATGATTGTATTTAGCATCCATTCCTGCGCAGAGCGTACGGTACGAAATCTTTTCGTTTTTGTAATGAACTTCAGGATCTTGAGAAAAAATATAACGATATTTTTTATCCTCCTCAATTTCTGAACATTGTGATGGTTTCGAGTTGCAATACACCGCTGTCCATCTTAAGTGAAAAATAGAACCAGAAGGAGCAATACATAAAAGATCGCGACCTTCACCTTGATAATCAAATGCGCAAGTACTAATCGATGTGCTTGGAAGAGTGTATTGGTGAAGGAGTTCATTCATAGCAATATCAAACACATCAATTGTACCATTTGTTGAAACAGAAAGGAGTGTATTGCGACCAAGAAGCCGGACACCGGCAACCTATTGTTTATCAGTATAAAGTAATTGAAAAATAAACGTGGAAACAATTTTTTAAAAATAGTCATAAACTAACCGCTTTAGGATGATTATGAAACAAGGCAACTCTTCTACCATCAGCCCATGATAGAACATGTATTACACCTTTACAAGTGCCTAATACTATATATTCTTTGTTCATGGCCATACACTGAGTTCCTATCCAATGATCCTCAATAAATCGGCCAAGGCATTCACCTTTTGAAAGAGAAAATAATTTACATCCAAAATCACTATGATAGATTAAAGTAGCAAGTTATCATACGTTATAGTATTTATAAAACAAATAAAAAAGAAATCATACCCGTAATATGAGCCGCAAGCGATAACATCCATATCTTCAAGAAAATCAACACATGAAATATCAGCACCAAAATCAATAGTAAGATCAGGTTTACCAGTTTTGATGTTCCAAACTTTGAGACGGTATTCACTTGAACCAGTAACTAATATATTCCCACGTAATTTTAAGGCAGTCACATTATTGTTGTGTGCTTTAAAGCTTGAAACTTTGGTGGCAGTCCCTCGATTCCAGTTTCTTTGAATTCGATAGAATTTTTCCCAACTATTTGCCGAAGACTTGGTTCTGGGCGGAAGTGGCCCTGGCTCGAAAAACTCCGCGCTATGATGTTGCCATATCGTTTCATCCAACGAAATAGAATAACTAAAAGGATCAAAAAAGGAACTAATTATAACGTACAAAGCTCTAATCCATTTTTATCTAGTTTCCGATTTAAAATTATTGAGGAAGTACCATTTTTTGGAAACCTTAAAAAAGAAATACTTTTATGAGAACCCTTTTCCATCGCGATGTCAAATAAACTGTTAAAAAGATCTTTACCGTACGACACCGACAAAGGGTAGACACGGGAAGTTCAATAAAAATTCTTAACCAAATTTCGTCCGGCAGTAAATCAAGGGGACTTGTAACAGAAGTTTTACTGCCTTTAAATTTTTCTAGGCTTTCCATGACATTAATGTATGTGTTTGGAAAAAAAATAGAATTATACAATCATCTTTCGGATAATCACAAACTTATTCGTATAATGTTTGGTCATTGCCATGGTGATACAAACTTTGTGAACATCGTTATTAGAGAATCCAAATATATTACAGTCAGAACTCCATAAATGCACACTCCATAAATGCACGGACTAAGTAAAAACTCTCTAAATGCACAGTATAGTCTGGTCCCAACTCATAAGAGCTATATATAATTTCTACTCTATAAATGCACACACTCTCTAAGTGCACTA